TAATCAGAATGGCAGTTATTATGCATACAAACAACAATAAGTGCTTGAAAGGATGTGGGGGAAAAGGTACACTCATACATTGCTGATGGGATTGCAAATTGGTGCAGCCAATATGGAAAGCAGTATGGAGATTCCTTGGAAAATTGGGAATGGAACCACCATTTGACCCAGCTTTCCCTCTCCTCAGACTATACCCAAAGGACTACATACTACAGGGACACAGCCACATCAATGTTTATAGCAGCACAGTTCACAATAGCTAAACCATGGAACCAACCTAGATGCCCTTTAATAGATGAATGGATTTTAAAAAGTGGCATATATACACAATGGAATATAACTCAGCAATAAAAGAGAATAAAATCATGGCATTTGCAGGTAAATAGATGGAGTTGGAGAAGATAATGCTAAGTGAAGTTAGCCAATCTAAAAAAAAAACAAATGCTAAATGTTTTTTTGATATAAGAAGGCTGATTCATAGTGGGATAGTGAGCAGGAGCATGAGAGGAATAGACGACCACCGCTAGATAGAGGGGAGGGGTTGGAGGGGAAGGGTGGGGGCATGGGGTAACTAATGATGGTGGAATGTGATGATTATTACTATCCAAAGTACATGTATGAAAACATGAATTGGTGTGCATATACTATGAATACAACCAGATATATGAAAAATTGTGCTCTATATATGTAATAAGAATTGTAATCTCCTGTCATATATAAATAAAAAATTTACATAAAAAAAGATATACTGAAGTATTCAAAATTAATAGAATGGTTATACAAGTTATGGTGCATTATTCAATGGAAAATTCCATACCCTTTCAAAATGATATCTCCAGAAACTGGTCAATATCATGGGAAAAGTTTATGATATAATGTTAAGTTAGAGAGAGAGAACTGATGTATGATATTATCCCTATTTAAAAATGTATCTACATCTATGTATATAATCTCATGATAAAGTAAGTATGCTGGAAACAATAAAAACAGCGGTTATTTCTATTTCTGACAAGATTTTGGATGATTTTAATGATCTTTGTGTTTTTCAAATTCTCTTCAATGAGCATGGATTAGTTTATAATTTAGAACAAATATCTTAAAGAAAATTAGTTAAAGAACTTCTTGATGAGCTGGAGCTTGCCAAGAGTACAAAACTCCTAGGAGTCCCATTCTCTCTGTCATTGTGTATGAAGGGGCCCCCACCAAGAGGTGCTGGAGCACAGAGGCAGTGTAGACAAACAGTGTGCGGCAGATGTGTTAACACAGGTAAACAGATAGGTGGATGTGAGCAGGCAGGTAGGGGAAGGAAACATAGGACTCTCCCCACCTTGAGTGATGAAAAATAACTCTCCCTCAGAGGACAGGAAATCCCACCCACAAACCTTCCTTCTTCTTGCTCAGGTACTACCTTCTTAAACTAGAAGAAGTGAGTATAGCCAGTTTAAGAGACTTCCAACTTCAAAACATGCAGAGAGGCACTGCTTGCCAGATCCTGATTCACTGTAATTTATATTATGGTTTTAAAACATCGGTAGGTTTTTCTGGGATATCAATGTAAACTTTCTAACATGTGAAACCAGCACAGGGCAGTGGGCCATGGCCCCCAAACCACAGTCACCTCAGCAAGTTAGTCCATCATTGAAGAGGAAGGAGAGTCCAAGACCAAGTATAAAAACCCAGTATGTGGAGTGTGGTGACATGATGCACACCTGTAATCAGTCACTTGGGAGGCTGAGGCAGAAGAATTACAAGTTTGAGTCTAGCCTGGACAACTTAGTGAGGCCCTGCCTCGAAACAAAAAATAAAAAGGACTGGGGATGTAGGTCACTAGGTAAAGCATCCCTGGATTCAATCACTAGTACCTATAAAACAAAATTCTTCCTGTGGAAAGCCTTAGGTCTTTTCTTCTCTGGGAGGGAGTCTATTCTACAGGGAGGCAAGGCTCTCCTAGAGCTTACCTCCATTAAACTAAACAAATACTTTATGCTTATTCTCTAATTCTCTTGACTTAAATACTTCAAGAAGACAAGAACTGAGGAAACAGGAGTCTTCTCAGGACACACTAAACAGGATTTTCACATCGGTTAATATGTAAATGTATCATAACCCCTTTTCTCCTAGAATGCCTAGCAACATCTCCCAGAGCACTCTTGGAAAAATGCTACCCAGGTAATGGAGAAATTTTAAGCAGGAAAGTGACATGATTAGCTTTGCCTATGAGAATGACTTGCTAACAGAAATGTGGAAAATGGGGAAGAGAAACAAGCAAATCGAAACAGACTATGATGTCAGGCCAGATAGAGATGATGAGCTTTTGAGTGAGAGAGCAACTAAAGCTCCACATAAAACCTGGTGACTGGACCTCAGGGAGCAAAGGGAGAATCTAAGCTATCTCCCAGGTCCCTGACATGGACAGCTGAATAATGCCTTTCATTGAGATGGGAAAAGCATGGAAGGAGCAAGTTTTGGTAGAAGTTGATAATTTAGTTAATTTTGGTGAATTAGAGTTGATCATGGAACATTTTGGTGGACATTTGCAGTTGGCTCTAAGTCTGGGGGTTAAGAAAAAACTACTGGATATAAATATATACTTATGAATCAGTAACCTAGAAGTTAAAACAATAGGCATAGAAAAGAGCACCTAAGAAAAATTCATAGTGTGTGTAGAGGAGGGAACACTTTAGGAGAGCATCAATCAAGGGTCAGACAGAAAAGATCTTGAAAAGAAGGATGGGAAAGAAAAAATGTAGATACAGAATAGAACCAAGAGGAATTTAACCAAGAGTCTATTTCATGAGGTGAAAGCAATAAATAAAATCACATGCAATAGGAGATCTGTCAATCACAAGAATAAAATTGAAAAGTAAATATGAATCAATAATTCAATACATTGATATCCTAAGCAAGAACAATGTCATGACTTAAGCATATAATTTTCTGGGCTGGGGTTTTAGTTCAGTTTTGTAGCACTTGCCTAGCATGTGTGAAGCACTGGGTTCAAACCTCAGCAAACCATAAAAATAAATAAATTAAAATAAAGGAATAGAAAGAGTGAGTCATTATTAAAAAAAATTTAAAGCATATAATTTCTTGCAGTCCCATATATGCATGTGTATTTGAAACCCAGATGGAGATGATTAAGACTAATGATCAAAATAATTTGGGGGGATGGAGAAAATTCATGAATGAAAATATTATTTACACTTCCAATTTTGGGTATGTGAAGTAAAATCTTATGTTGATATGAACACATGAACTTGCAGATTATTCCCAGAGCTCAGTAATGTGTAGGAATTAAAAATAACTATATGTGAAGCAGAGTTCTACAACAGAAAATGAGAAGAGTATTGAGTTTTTTGAGGCCTGTCACTTGGGAGTAAAGATAACAAACTGCTTGCTGGGGACAGCTTCCTTGTATCACTTGTAACACAGGGGTACCTGCATCCCAGGTGAAGGACATGAGTTTTGTGGCCAGGAGAAAATATAGGAGCTCAGTGCTTCTCTGCTTGGGACCTCCCAAGAGCAGTTCCAGACACTAGGAGCTTGTCAGTCTGCCTGTCATTGTAAATGTCTTAAAATATCCTATCTCATAAATTACAGAATCATAGACTGCTGCAAGAGGAGGCAACCCAAGAACTCATCTGCCTTCTCATCTTAAAAAAGAAGAAACTAAACCCCAGGGTGCTTATTAATTGTAGAGCCAAGACTAAAATCTACAGATCCCAAGTACTAGTGCTTTTGCGCTACAGTATATATACCAGTTAACAACAGAAAATATGGACTGATTGGCTTACTAATCTACACATGTACACAAATGTGGTGGACAAAATCAGATGGCCCCTGAGATTCTTGCTCACCACTGTACACACACACACACACACACCTACCTATATAATGCCCTGCTCTTGAGTGTGGGTGGACCTATGATTATAAAGGGATATAACTCCAGGGATTAGGTTATATTATGTGGCAAAGACAGAAAGATTCTGAAGACAGAATCAAGGTCCAAAATAAACTGATTCTGAGTTAATAAAAAACGTGATTATCCTGGGTAGACATGACTGAATCAAGGGAAAGACTTCAAAGGAGAGATTGGGCTTCCTGAAATTCTCTAATAGACCTTGAAGAGACAAGAGCTATGTTATGAACTGCCTATAGAAGGGGTCATATAGCAAGGGACTACAGGGTACTTCTTATATCTAAGGGTCATCACTGGCTGACATTTGCAAAAAATGGGGATCTTGGTCCAATAGCTGGACAGAGCTCTATTCTTCCAGCAATCTGAGGGAACTCAGAAGTAGAGTCTTCCCAATCAAGTGTGGGATAAAAAAGACCTCAGTCTCAGCTGACACCTGAACTAGAGCCTGGACAGGTCCTAAAGCAGAGGATGAGCTATAATTATCAAGTTCCCAGATTCCTGGCCTATAGAAATTGAGAAAAATGATGATTGTTTTAAGCTGTAAAATTTGTGGTAATCTGTTACAGAGCAATGAATAACTAAAACAATTAAGTTCCCTCAGATGCAAAATGCTTTTAAAAAGATTTTTAAAATGGTGTTTGCCAAGAATGATTTCTTGGACTCTTATTAGAGGGATGCCTGTAGTCCATTATAAAGTTTATGTAGAACATGTCCTCTTTTCTAATATTATTTTTTAGTTGTAGGTGGACACACAATATTTTTATTTCATTTTTACATAGTGCTGAGGATCGAACCCAGTGCCTCATATGTGCTCGGCAAGTGCTCTACCACTGAGCTACAACCCCAGTCCAGAACATGTCCTCTTGATGGTGTACCTTACCAAGCCCCTAATTTTCCTCAAGTTAAAGAAAATGTGCTATACTTTTAGATAGATTTTATGTATAGGGAATGCTGTGAAAGAACAATGCTTTCCTTTGCTTTGGAGAAGTGATAATAGTCCTGCCATTCTTTTGATAGTAAAGCAGTTGCTTATTTTCCAGAAAATGTGTACATAATGCAGAAATTATATAAAGAAGCATACCAGAAAATCTTCCATTGAAGGCTCAAAGAGTAGTGACTGGACTGTCAAAATCAGTTCTGTGATGAACATGGGAACGAGAGACTCATCTTCTTCCTGCTTTTCCACTACAGGAGCCCCCTAAAATAAGCATATTTGCAGTGTTATAAAGATGTTAGTACCAAGGCATAAATTAAGACAAAGACATGTAAACTTAAGTTTATATAATTAGCTGAATTTATAACCATGGCATGTGAAAAGAAAAGATAAAAGGTAAATATTTAAAGATGATATAGTATCATAAAATGTCTCTCCTATAAAAACACTTATCAACAAAATGGAAAGGCAAACAATAAACTGGGAAAATATGAATAATGTATTCAACAAAGTTGATAATATTTAAATAGAAGTGGAATTCATATACTCAATAGAAATAAAGCTAACAACAGATACTTCAATAGAAACATATTCAACAGAAAATTTCTCTTTTTTTCTAGTATACAGAAAATAGCATGATTTATAGTAAGAACTCATCAAATAAGTGTTGATAATGATTCTTAGTTAGATCTGAATATACCTTTTTGTCAGTGACTTCAGGCTTCTCCTCAGTAATCCATTTCTGAATGACATCTGCTGAAGGTGTTCTTTTCAGTTTATCAGTAAGATAATTCAGAAGAGAGTTAGCAGAATTTACTGTTAAGATGTGCAGTGTGTTCTCAATTAAATAATCATTTAGATAGATAAAGCTTGAAAAGAAAAGTAAACATTGTTTCAGTTCTCTATAATCACTATATATTTTTGATCGTGACTCTAAAGCAAGTATTTAAATGTTAAAATATAATTTCTCCTTGAGTTGTGACCTAATTATATTATAACATCAGAGATTTATGTCCAGAAGAGTTTTTCTTAGACATTCTTCCATTTAGAACACAATTATATTCAAATATGCAACATCAGTTTTTAGCTAGGTGTTCTAACTCTTCATCGTCTATTTAATGAGCAATATAGCTATTAAGGAAAATGCACGTAGCTCATCTAGCCAAAGGGCTATATGATTTTTTAAGTGTTTTAAAGAAAAACTTAAGTATACAACAACTGTTACATTTAGAATAACTTTTTAGTTTGCTTAAATGGAGCTTTAGGATTTCTTGTATCTCTAGGACCTGATGGTGGCCTTTGAGACAGCTTCACTGACTTTCATTGATGCAGACATTTTCATATATAAAAGAGTACACAATTAAGGTACATTAAATAAATGGTTTTAATTGATAGATTAAGTTAGTGAACACCAAATAGTAATAATCCATGCTTTATAGTTTCATAATTTTTCAAATAATCTTTGGTGATTTTGTTTGTAAGAGTTATTTGTGATCATAAGGCTTTAGAATGATGGAAACTTTAAACTCTGAAATAGTCAAGTTCAAGATGGAGCTAGGTAAGCAGATGGCACAGCTAATAGCAAGTTTCCTGGTGAGGTACTAGGAGGAACACTTCCCTTCCAGGCTCCCAGTTGTAAAAGCTGCCTTAGCCATAGGGTGGAACTTTATGTGATTTTCCAGTTTGCCATAGTTCCTTAGTGACCAAAAGGATGGAGCAGTGCAGGAAGTCATCCATGCACTGTGTGTGAACTAAATGTTGAAACCATGAGGCAGTAAAGTAGGGTATCAGAACTCCCAGCAGCAACCCTGCTGGTTTGAGAATGCCTGGTTCATGTGGCTTCCTACCTAGCTCCATCACAAGTTCAGCACAGCATCAGAGATGGAATGACCCGCTGGAGCTATGCAGACTCTGGAAGTGGGTGTGGCTTGTCAAAATGCCAATCGACCTGTTTACTGCAAGACCCTGCCACACTGAGAAGCAAGACTCCTTCCTTGAAACCTTATTCCTGCCTTTGATGTACTCCTCCTTAAATAAAGAATCAGGGCCAATCTTCAGTTGTTCAGTTCCAGCTCCCATCAGATGCGCTCCCCTTTTTATCTAATTTCTGGCTCCGGCTTTATATCTTACTATTTCAGACTTTTTATTTCCCAGGCTGCTCACACCTCCTGAGCAGGAACCTACCTAGTGGGGTGCTGGTCACCCAGCATTAGAGCAGGCCCTCCTAACCTACTTGCGGAGGTCCACAAATCTCTGTGAGCCTGGCTTCTCCTTCGCACAACTTGTTTTATTGCAGGGAGTTGTTCCAGGCTAGGCCAGAGGGAATCACAGCCTTAGATATCAAAAAGGAGCTCTTGGACTTGGATTTACTATCAGCCTGCCTGTCCCAGCAGCTACTTTGCTGAGTGAGAGTTGAAAGGATGGGTTTCTGGAGCATGCATTTAGGTAATCATATTCCTTAAATTCTCATAACTATTAGAGAACTCTATAGTGACAGGTTTGATTTTTTTAAAAAGGAGATGTTTGGAAATGAACATTGCCTTTTTAAAAAAATTAAAAACATGGGCTGGGGATGTGGCTCAAGCGGTAGCGAGCTCGCCTTGGCATGCGTGTGGCCCAGGTTAGATCCTCAGCACCACATACAAACAAAGATGTTGTGTCCGCCGATAACTAAAAAAAAAAAAAGAATATTAAAAAGGAATTTTCTCTCTCTCTCTCTCTCTCTCTCTCTCTCTCTCTCTCTCTCTCTCTCCCTCTCACTCTCTCTTTAAAAAAAATTAAAAACATTAAAACATCTCTATGTTTTGATTTTAACTTTTCATTGTACATATTTGAGTAGGACACAAGATGTTTTGACATACAGAACAAAATAATTACTCCAGTCATACAAATTAACATATTCATCATCTTCCAAGGTTTAATTTTTAATGAAACTTGAGCAGGATGGATGATCTAATTTTTCTTAAAATAAATAGTAGTCATTTACCATGTTAGCCTCATGCAATGATGCCTTTTGCTGGCCTGTTCTGTATATGTCATTTTTTCAGAATCTCCATAAGAGGGCAACTCAACCAGCACATCACTGAAACCTACTCCACTTATTTTTGCATAGCAAGCTAAGAACAACAGAAGACACAAGAATTTTTGTGTAAAAATTTCATTTCTTATATAAAGTATGTTCATGCCAAATTATGCCATTATACATGAGCTCTCTTATTATTATTTTTTGCACTACAATTCTTAATATACCTTTATGCCACAATTTATCATATCTCTGATTGTATATAAGGTATGTTGACACCAAATTCACATCTTCATACATATATTTTGTGTAATGATGAGGGTCTCCTTCCACCATTCATGTATTCCCCTTCTTCCTCTCTTTCCCTCCCATCCCTATTCCCTAATCTTCCTCCCTTGCTCTCCCTCCCAACCCCATTTTGAATCAGATTAGAATATTGCATTAATATATTAATAATTCACAGACTTTTATCTAATGTGTACTCATGTACAGATTATTAAAAGTTTTAAAATGTAAATGATAAAAAATTCCATTTCTTTCAATATACATTCAAAGAAAGAACAAATAAAATGTAAAAACAATAAAATCCTTTGGTTCATAAGGCATTTAAAGCCTACAAAGAAGTCTAATTATTCAAAGGAATTTCCTACCAATTGATTTCAATTCAAGTAAATAGTATAGATAGTTTTTAACATTCTCCTTAACAGGAGTCGATCAGTAGACCATGTTACCTTTCTCAGGAATACCTCGACCCTCAAGCATTTGATCCATCTGTATTGTTATCATCCTTTACAATCCATGCCAACTGGGACCAATCTTAAGATCCATTCAGTCCCTAATTTTTAACAAACCTATTGACTCCAACAGTAGGCCAGACATACATTTAAGAAGACAGTCTCAACCAGAATCCACTATAGAAGGCTTATGATTAATATTCTGTGTACAGTTCACAATACTTACGTGAGAGAAATGCAAGAAGATGCAGTATTTACCATTTTACCTGCTTCCACAAAGTATATTGAATTTATAACATACCAAGAAGCAGTTTGAAAGAACTGAAAAAGGATCATTATTTAAACCTAGGACAAGGAGAATACAGAAGAACTGATATTTTAGAAAGCAGACATTTCTAATATACCCAGGTTCCATGCCCTTCATACCCTCAGTAGGTTCAAATGCACAGTCATCAGGAACAAACCCTGCAGCACGCAAAGCAAATCGACATGCCTTCCTGACCACTTCTTTTGCCTCATTTCGAAATTCTTCTAGGCGCTCTGTCACCTAGAGATTAATGAATATGCATAATTAGTGATATCAAAATATCAATAATAGGGAAAAAACTTAATCCTTATAGGCAAAATTTCTTACCTCCTGTAGTCTTGCGACTTGTGCAGCCTTGAACTCCTGCAGGGTGTAGGTGTGACATTTTTCAATATAATAAAGTCCCATAAAGCTCAATTGATAACACAATTCATTTATTTTAAGAAGAGCTGGTCGCAAATACTGAATGAAAATAAGAATTTATCATTGTTTAGTAAAAAAAAAAAGTTCTGTATTTTTAAAGTATAAAAGCTTGTGAATAGTAAAAATGATTAATAAGGAAAATAAACAGCTCTGTATGTTAACTTGAGCTACAACTACAAAAAACATATATTACACAGAAACACTTTTGAAAATTTTTTTGTAAACTAATTCTTTGAATTATCAAATTTAGTTTGTCAAATTCCTTCTTTTTCAGTTTAAAATACATACATGTCTTTCTGCTTATTTAAAGAACAAAAATGAGAGCAAGTAAAAAAAAACTGGGCAATATCTTACATTTCATTAGTTTTTGCTAATAAAGATTCTTGTGTTACTTTAAGGACTTTACAATATCCAGTCACAACTATAACAGAAGGGAGCATCTATTAATCTAAAAGGCTATGACAGAAAACAAGGATAAATTTGACTTTAAATTTTAGTGGGCAACAAGTAGTTTTGGAAAACTTATGTTTCTTGAAAAGGTTAAACATAGAGTAACTAATGACCTAGAAATTTTATTCCTACAGGTATGACCAAGAGAAATAAAAAACATATGTTCAGGCAAAAACTTATACATGATTGTCTATAACAACATTATTCATAATTGCCGAAAAGTGGAAACAGTCCAAATTTCCATTAATAGATGGGTGGGCAAATAAATAGGCATAATAACACAAAGGAACAAAATGCCAATGAAAAGAAATGCTATAACAAAGATGAACCTTAAAACATTATGTTTTGTGAAAAATGCCAGTCACAAAACAAACAAACAAATAAACAAAAAAAACAAATATTGTGACTTCATTTAAAAGAAATGTAAAGAACAGGCAAATCTATAGATACAAAAATTGATTACTGGTTACTTAAAGTGAGGGAGAAAAGAGAGATTGGGAAGAAAGAGGGAATGTGAATAATGGAGTTTTTCTTTTGAATGATGGACATGTTCTAAAATTGACTCTAGTGATTATTGGTAAATTCTGTGAATACACTAAAAATCATTGAATTATATACTTTATAAAGGTGAATTCTATGGTATGTAAATGTCATATCCATAAAGTTGTTACAAGAAAATATAGGCACAGGTGCCAAAAAAGTTGGTTATTGAAAAATGTCTAAAAATAAAAATTTCTGGAACAACTTCTTTCAATATTTCTTTCTTCAACCCAGTTTAGAAGAATCAGCCACTCTAGTCAAGTAGTTGTAATTATAAGACTGTGGTAAGAGTGAGTTAGCATCTAACAGATATTCAAACCATCTCAATGGTGTTAGCATAATTACAGCCACCTTCCTTTTCCCCACCCCCACTTTATGAATACTGTTCTTATTCACAAGAAATAGAAAATAGCCTGAGATAATGCAGGTCTAGAGATATGCAGGTCTCTCCCTGCTCTCTCCTTGAGAAGATAAAGGTACATGCCTGTTTCCTTGTTCTCCCTTCTGAGAGATAGGAAAACCTCCTTTCTCTGTTCCCAAGAAACAAACTTGCCTTCCACAAGATCAGAGGAAAACTAAACCTGTCCCTAGTGCATGGCCATGGTTCTAGTCTATAAAAGGTAACATTCAAGGGGGAGTTGCTACTGTTCTCCCTCCTTGCTGCCACTATCCCTCTCTTTGTGCAGAGTAGCCTTGTCAGGCTCTTGACAATAAATCTGTTTCTTATCCCAGGTATGTGTGATTAGTTCTGTGCCACTTTTCTTTCAAATGGGACTGCTATTTATGTCAATTGCAGCTTGAAAGCATGAAAACATTCTAGTCCTCTAGAACCAATTCAAGAGGAGATATTATCAAACCAATGCATCACTGGTATGAATGTTGCACAGGAGATAATGATAACTTTAAGCACACAAAATAAGAAAGTGAGTTTTGATTAAGTTGATTTGGAGGCAATTCTAGGGAGAACTATTTTGCATATTTAGTAACAAATTTAAAATATGGATAGTATTCAAGACATGGTAAAAGATTAAAGGTAGTGAAATATCTTTAAATGAAGAAAGTAGATGTGTGTAAGGATTGAATTTTATATCAACGACTAGAATATTTTCCCACAACTCAGAATACTGGATGAGATGGAGGACTCCAGATGGTTATATATTTGTTTAGCACTAATATCTGTGTTAAGTGTAGTCCTGAATATTCCTTGGTTGTGTGACTAACAGGGTGATAAGTCTTTACTTTATGCAAAGTGAAGGAACTGACCGTAAAAAGAAAACTAAAGGCTTTTGATTGGAGAAAGTAGTGACTTAGTGTCATAGAAACAGACAGCTGAGGATATAGCACTCTTAAATGTGCCAGTAATAATTTCAGTTATTCCCAGGAGTCAAGTACAAAAATTCTAATGTAAGTTGAAATTCATTGAGTGGAATTTGAATATGGCCACACATTCTTTAGCAGTTTTTTTTTTTCCTATCATCTCCTAGCATTCAAAGTAAAAGTTAAATTTTCCCCAATTGTCTGAATCCATGGTAAAGGAACCTATATGATCTACTGAGAGGTACTGGCCCATGAAAACAAGTACCAGATTATTTGGGCCCATTAAGTCCAGAAGGTTTCAGAGAAGAGGGGAGGTAATAGGGCTGCCAATCCACTGTTCTCAAAAGACATACAGCTTTCTGATCAACAACAAAGGGGATTACAAATCCAAGACTTTGAGCCTGTTTCTAATCAAAGGGGACCTGTACAACTCTCTTGATGTACTTCTGTATTTTGCAACCATAGTTAAAAATATAGAAATGCCACTGGATTGCAAACTCCTAATTGACTAGACAGGTTAAAAATTGTGAATTCTCTTAAAAAGGTAAAATATTCCATTTCAGAGACTATCTTTTCTTTTTCTGTAATTCTTTAAATTACAACTAATAAATACATACAGGATGAACAATGAACAAATCTTTTTGTAGAGATTTTCGACATYCATTGATTTTCGTGGAGCGTACATTCTTCCTCCATACGCTAAAAGCCTTCCATTTCCGGAAAAGTGAAAATATGGGGATCTTAATGAGTTCTCTGTGATATAGGTATTCCTGTTCCCATCGATCAATTTCAATAAATTCAATCTCATCGTTGTAAATGTGTGTCACTGCCTTTTGGCTAATCGTATAGTAGTCGTTTTTATTGATGTTCTCATAAGCTACAACTCTATGAAAAAATAGAGATTTAGACAAATGAATAAAGTGTTCAATACAAAGTCAAGCAATTGAAGTTATTTTGTTATAAGGAGATAAATTTCTTGAAAATTATTAAAATTTAAAATACCATTTAAATTTTATGATTTAATATAATTAATTTTTTAAAAATTTTTTATTATTAGTTGTTCAAAACATTACAAAGCTCTTGACATATCATATTTCATACATTTGATTCAAGCAGATTATGAACTCCCATTTTTACCCCGTATACATATTGCAGATTCACATCGGTTCCACATCCACTTTTTTACATATTGCCATACTAGTGTCTGTTGTATTCTGCTGCCCTTCCTATCCTCTACTATCCCCCCTCCCCTCCCCTCCCCTCTCCTCCCATCTTCTCTCTCTACCCCATCTACTGTAATTCATTTCTCTCTTGATTTAATATTATTTAAAATTGAACAAAATTCTAACAAACTACTTTCAGATTGAATAATTTATTCAATAAAAGAAAGGGGAGTTTTGGTCTTATTATAAAGATTTCATATTCTTGGCAATATGCCCATATCAAAGTTACATGATTTTTACAATTAAAAAAACCTACTATAAATATTAAAACCTAATCATTCTGACTGAAAACAATTGGGAACTGGGTTTTTAATTTATTATTGATTCTTTGGAAATTATTCAATATTAATAGTATAAAATAGTTTTAAACTATCTAGTATTGACAGTTATGAAATATGTGAAAGAAAACATAAATTAGATAAGAACTGACCCAAATTAAGATAAAATTTTTGCCTAAGTCATCACATACAAAATAATTATTATTCAGAAATTATTTAGATCAAGTTATGTCTTTCTTTAATGATCATCAAGGGCATTCCTTAACTGTATATATAAAAGGAAACAGATCAAGTAAAGAAGAAAATCAAGAACAGTATAAAAACAGGAACTAGAGCAGAAGAAATAAAAAAAGTAACAAGAACAGAAAGGTCTAATTCTCTAAAATATTTTAAAATAAGAATTTACAGTAAAAAGACATTTCCTATAATATTAGCTATAACGTTACATATTATATGCAACTTAATCAATATTAAAATAAATATAAAATATGATGTAGCACCTTATTAATATACACTTAGGAATTTAGGAAAGTAATATTCCTGAAGATTCTCTGAGATTTTAGAATAAGATAAAGGTTAAATAATATACAAAACACAAATCCCAATTGTTTTTATGTTAAAACTATGCAAAAGTATGTATATTAGTAACACTCCAGTGCAAATGAATTGTTTCCCTTGTCTGTGTTCTCTTGCATTCCTTTGTTCTGTATTCTGAACCTGGAGTGAAATGATTGAAATTGCTGTATATAAACAAATTCACGTGCATTTGCATAGTCAATTTTCAAAGGACTGGAACAAAATTCTTGGGTCCATTGTCAAAAAGCCAAGTACTGTTGGCATAAGTAATTTTAAAAATTAAAAAAATAATTAATAAAACAGTAAGAATATTTTTGTAAATTGTGACATACAGAACCAAAACGAAAGCAAACCCAAGAGCTATTCATGTGAGCCCACAAAGAAAACCGAGGGGCAGTGGTACAGTGGAGTGTGGGAGGGAGCTGATAACTAACTTTAAGGTTATTCTCCTATTTCAGAACTGCAATGGAAAACCTCTTTTGCTTTTACCTGACCCCATTAACTGACTTTTTTATGTGTTCTAATTAACTCACACCAGAAATTGATGCTCTAAGATACATGGAAAACATCAAAATTTTTTCCTTTTTTTCCTGTTCAATAGCTAAAGATATAAATAGGACATTCTTGGAGTGATTCTCTTCAAAACGTAACACTTGCCAGTGAAATTATAATCAACTTCAGATGTTTCATTAACATCAGACATCAAACCAACCTAGAAACTAGAATAGCTGACCAACCCCTTGGTTCAAGTCTGGAACACTTGCTCTGTGTGGTTTATCTTCTACTGACAGCCCTGCTAGAAGGCAGCAAATGTGATCCCTGATGCTGAATTTCAATTTGTTGGCCCTCAATGCCACTTAGAAATTATTTGTATTTTTCTTTCTTCTAAGACATTCATTCTCAAACCCCTATGCTTTTTTCCCTCTACACACCTCTACTGTTAACACAGTAAATGAACACTTGTGAGTCTTTTTCAAAGATTAGCTCATCAATATCAAAATCATCTGGAGTATTTATTAAGAATCTAGATGTCTGGGTCAAACGCAGAATCTTCATGTATTGTGAGACTCCTGATTAACAAGCTGCCTGGGTGATTTTAATGTACAAAGTTTGTAACCAAAAACTGTATCTAAAAAGAAAGAAACAACAACAAAAACAGAACTAACAACCTGATCTCTATTTCATACTGTCACTTAAAAATCTACATACTATGCTTTCCTTCCTAGGTATATATCTCATGCTTTCCTCCAAAGAGAAGTTGTTGTTGTTGTTTTCTAACTCTCCTAGTCTTCTGACTATCTTTCCTCTGTAACTGAAGTTGTGCAGAACTTCTCTCTTGTGTGTAGAAAGCTTTTCCTTGACCCTGCTGGATTTTGGTGCTTTGCTGTATATGCTCTGCCTCAGAGCACTTAGAAGTTTGTGGAGTTGAACCACCACTTATAATGGTGACTTCCCATTCAGCATTTCTTGGCATTCAGGATTCCAACTTCAGCTGCCTCCTGGATACTCGATTTGGATGTTTGTTCTGCTAGTCCTCTCTTTGACAAGATAATCAGAAACATTGATCTTCCCCTAAAACCTGAAGAGAGAACTTAAAAAAAATTCAAGAATAAAATTCCTATTTTGCTGCTAAAAAAAGATGACTTTATGATACATTTACCTAAACAGAGATCCTTGGCTAGATAATGAAACAGGCTAAGAAAAAGATCTTTAATAAAATTACATTTAACTATACTGTCTTCAAACTAGAAAAAAATATCTATTATGATTTGTTGTTCAATGCAGGATCAAGGGGTCCCTTGTCTAATGATTTTACTATACAATCTCTCTCTATCAATCTGATATGAAACTTTAAGTCAACTTTTGTGTCTTGTTTGAAAGAATCCAATGGAGTGAGAAAATTACCTGGCTCTTGTGGTAAATCATAAATTGTCCTATTATTTTTCATTTCATGTACAAATCAAAGTGATTCCCTACTGGAAGTCTTCTCTGGGAGTTAATTCTTTTGACTTTTTGCAAAACAATAAAACTTTATTGCGATCTGTCATTTCAGGCAGCAGCTCTATTATACCCTGCAGTGATGGGAAATACTTCTGTTTATCTTTAAACCAGTCCAACAGACCAATAAAGCTGAAATATGGTTTGCATCATGTGACCCTTCTGCTCAGGAACTTTGAATAACCTCTAATTGCTTGTGTTGCTAAATCCTAATTATTGTGCCAGATGTTTGTGGCATTCTCCTGTTTCACATTAGTTGCTTCTCAGTGGGCACAAATCGCCCATTTTCATCAGGCTGGTTTTTTTTATCATGTCCATCGTTGGTCATATGTGAATGCATGCATATGTCTGTTCACTATTTTCTCCTTCCACCTCTTTCAAGTTTCTGATTTCTACAAGTAGGAAGAGTAATTCCTGCTTAATTAGATAAGCTCCTGTCGCCCTCTGCAATTTCAAGTTCTCTAGTTTCATTATTACACAGCTTTAATTGATGTGATTTGAATCCATTTATTGGATGAAAGTAAGAAAACACATGCCTGGGAAGAAATGAGTTTTGTTTCATGATAGTCAACACCATGATTCAATATGAGTCTAGATTTTACATAAACTAGGGAAGATAAATGCTTGCTTTACTTCTGGTTTGATTAATCAAAGATAATAAATTATCTGATAAAAATTCCTTTTTACCTACAAATTAAAGAAACACACAACTAAAAGGAAATTGTAAAGTTTCAACAGAAGAGAGTGATCTGGGAAAACAATTCTCAGAAGATGGTTCTTTGAAGAGCAGCATCAGCATTATGTGGGAATAGCAGATTTCCAGACCTCCTCCCAAATCTATAGACACTCTGGGGACTTAATAATCTGTGATTTAGCAAGTCCTTTGGGGCTTGCTTGAGAACTTACTGTTCTGGGTCTATAGGGTTAAACTCTGGTTGAATAATGAAATCATCTGATGAGTTTTAAAGACATACTGTTTGTTGGTCACCTTCCACCACAAACCAATTAAATAAATCACTGGGGGTAGAGTTAAAGCTTAGAAATGCTACTATAGATTCTTCCATTTTTTTAATGAAAGGAAGCTATCATCCAATAAGTTGTCATAGCTCCAGGGAAGTATCAGAGTGTGTGTGTGTGTGTGTGTGTGTGTGTGTGTGTGTGTGTGTGTATTGAGAGAGAGAGAGAGAGAGAGAGAGAATGAATATATGAAAGAAATATAAAAAGACAATCTGGAATCAAAGATCTTTAACATTCACAAATGAAAATCCAAAGGCCTACAGAGTCTCTGCTGACCAACATTATATTTATTAGATTTCAGTTTTTTCCTCATGTTCTAGCCTAAGAAAGCTGTCATTGTATTAGACCACTTTGTGAAGTTTCTGACGTCTTCAAAATGATCTATTAATATATAATATATAAACCTCATAGTAGAGTTTTTAAAAATAATTATAACTTCAYATGGAAACCAGAATGCTGCCATATGAGAATATGTCAAGCTGGTGACTCTCTGTATTATCTATTCTAGGCCACTAAAAATGCAATCTATCTTAAAGGATAGAATAGCTTTAGTTTGAAATTTAAAAAGCTGCTTAAAAATACTTTTAACATATCAGATTTAGAAATACTTTGGGTATCAACTTAGTCACTTAGAAAGTGTTTGTTAAAAAAAAAATCAAAGAATTAACTCCAATCTACTCTGAGCTCAGAGGAGACTTTACATAGTCTTAACAGTCTACCATATATAATTATTTCCTTAGGTTCCTAATCTCAACCTCTGATTCAACTAAATGTTTTTCCAATTTATATAATC